GCCAACCCCTCCTGAACCTGAGCAGGGTGCTCATCTGCTAGTCACAGCTTGGACCTTCCTGCAGTAGCAGAGCCCAAGATCAGGCTGCTGACAAGGCCGAGAGCACCCAACAAGAACCATCTTTCTGGCTTTACAGGCCCAGCAGAATGAGGCTTGATTACTTTTTTTTTTTTTTTTTTTAATAATAATAATAGGCAGGGTAATCTTTTACTTGGTTTCTCTCTGACAAGCAAAGTGGTAATTAAAGGACTAGCTCTCCCTGTAAAGTCTAGAATATGATTTGGGTAATGTCTAGCAAGGCTATCATGTACATTAAGGTATAGTTCTGTATCTAGATCTTTGACACCATCATTTTAGGGTTAATGGTCCAGAAAATTTAGTGTCCAAGTACGGATTTCATTTTAGCGCTCTTTGGAGAGGATATAAAGACCATAAAGGTGTTTAAGAGTAATGGTTGCCAATAAGTTTCCGCTGCAGAGGGATGAGGTCTGAGGTACCGGGCCCAAGCTCAGCTAGGCCGTAGCAGCGCAGCCGGCTCAGCCTTGCACCCTGGCTGCAGGTCCACGTCTGCTGCCCTCTGGGTCCGGGCGCTCTGGGCCTGCCCTCCAGGAGAAGGTTTGGGCTTGGATCTCCTTCGTCCTCCTCAGCCGCCAGCTTCTGTGAAACGTGCAGAAACTTCACGTCCTCCTCCACAGTTTGGTGTCTTTGGCCAACAGGCTCCTCCACTACCAGGGGTAACGTCAAACGCAGTCACCATGATAGGAAGCTCTTGCTGTTTAGTAAACCAGGCCAAAATGCAGCGAGGCCTGATCGGCTGCTGCTTGCAGTCCAGCCCCACTGAGAGGAGAACCAGACCCGTGGTCCTCACCTCAGCGAGGCAAACGGCAACGGCCCAAGCACGCCTGAACCCTGGCCCTTCCTGATGGTGACAACAAAGCTGTGTGTGTCTCATATTCCGGTTGTGTATGTGATGAAAAGCCATTTTATTATCCATCCTTTTCTTAGACTCTGAAATTTCAAACAGGATTGGATGTGAGAAGGGTCATGCGCTTCCTTTCCAAAAATGTTCAAAGCCTGACCTGATATGAAATATATGATTAGAAATATTTAAGAATAAGTGAAAAAAAGCCAAATTGTGTATACTTCTTGCAGCTGGAGCTGAAATAGCTGCTAAGATTTTTTTTCTTCCCAACGGAGAATTGGTACAGTTTGTTATTCTTGCATATTTTCCATGGTGTTGATGATGATGATGTATTTGTATATTGTGACTGATGAGAGATAATCAGACAGGGAAAAAGCACAGAGTTCTCTTGGGGAATTACCTGTCTCTTTTTTTTTCAGTCAAGACAGAATGTATGACTTTATTACAAGAAAAAAAAAGTGTGAAAATGAACTTTCTGTAACTAGGCCATTCTGAACTATGTAGAACCACACTTTGAGATTTATAAAAATTACAAATAGTAAAAAAAAAAAAAAAAAGAAACATCAACCGCAGTGTTTTTTGTTTTCCTGTCTGAAGCAGCAAGTCGTGATCTTTCTTTCTGTTCCAAACAGACGAGTGTCAGTAAAGGCCCATGAGCGTGGCTGGAAAAATCCACACTTCAGTCCAGTATGTTTATTTTCAACACCCATGTCACAAAGACACAAAGTGCTTTTTTTTTTCCCCATCTCCCTTAGTTCTGCTCCTGAATCCTCGGGACTCCTTAGACGAGCACAAAGCGTCACCCACCCGGACAGTTCAGCACTGGGTGCGCTAATGCTGCAGCCCCCAGGCAAGGGGCCCTCCTGCCTAGGAGGAGTTTTGCTCTGCTTCGCATTTCCCAGTGCTGACTTTGCTCCCGCCCAGCGCTGACCCCCTGGGAAGGCTCTGGGACCATTCCCAGCTCTTGCAAGGACTGGGAGAACGAGTTCCCACCCGTGCTAGAAGGAGAATGTGTTGCTGCAAACTTCAGCTTTCGCTCTGACTCACCCCCAAGTGACCGGGACGGGCCCTGGGTGACACTGTCTACGCTCCCATCCGGAGCATTCCAAGGGCACAAGTGGCTGTTTGCTGTTTGCCTGGGAGTGCGTTTGGATGCGATGCTGACGTCCAGCCTGGGCTGACCCACCTTGAACAAACTCCGTCCTGGAGCGGGGTTGGCTCAGCCAGTGCCGGTGCCGACAGCCCCCGGGACCGGAGCCTTCTCGGGGCTGCGCTCTGCTTGCAGAGGCAGCCAGACCTCTTCCTGCTTAACGTAAAATAAAGGATTTCATTTAACAGCAGTAACTTTTAAAACAGCCTGGGGGGCTGCAGGGATTCGCAGGTCTCAACCCCACGCTGGGCTACAGCTGCAGCAAGCGCCAAGCGAGGCCGACGCGCGCGCGGCCGGTGGGTTTTTCCCCCCCAGCCCCTTCCATTTTCACTTTCCTTTCTCACCATCATTTTTCCTTTGTGCAGCAGCAGAGGAGGAGAAGCATCCGCCTGCGCCCCTCTCTCCACCTCCTTCCCACCCTCCCACGTGACGGCAGCTCCTCGATGCCCGGGCCGCGTCGCCCGCGTCGCGCGCGGCAGCAGCAGCAGCAGCAGCGCTCGGGCGCCGACCATGGGCAGGAGCGCGGGGCCCCGCGTCCTGCTGACCTTGGCCTGCGGTGAGTGACGCTCCCAGCCCCTTCTAGCAGCCGGGTTGTGCCTGGGGCTGTCTGTGCGCTCAGGGGAGGACAGCACCGGACGGGGGACAACTTGAGAGGCAGTTTTGCTGCTAGCAGTTAAGGGCTCTTTCAATAGAGGCCCCCGGTAAGAAGCAAAAGAGGAAATATAGATACAGATATGAATATAGATACAAATATATCTAATTACGGCTGCTGTAGGCTTGATCTGATGTTTTTCCTTGTATTTTTCTTGGTGCTCGCTGAACTCTGGAAGCAGCTATAAATTGTATTAGAAGTAGGATTTTTTGGCTTTGTGTTTCTTAAAAATAATTCCCAGACCAGCAGAACTGACTGAAATCTCAAGTGAGACAAGCAGAAGGAAAACTAAAGAAAAAGCACTTGAGTCAGTGTTTTGTTTGATGAAGAGCATGGTCGGGAAAGCAAGAACATGGCTTGGGCCTTGGGCAAGGCTGGGGCAGCCAGGGCTTATCTCCAAGGCCACCCAATCGAAGTCACCCTCAGATCCTCAGTGTGGCTCCGGGGAAATCTGTGCAGCCGGTTTGGTTACGGATGGGTCCCGGCACCCTTAACACCTGTAGCAATACAGAATCCACCTGGTGAGGAAGGCAACGAGCAGGGATGCAGCACAGGAACTCGGGATCGAGCAGCTCCAGCAGCACCTGCCTTGCTCTCCCATGTCCCGTTCACATCCAACGGCCTCTACCGCGGCCCAAAAACTAAACGCACCCTTAACACCTGTAGCAATACAGAATCCATGTGGTGAGGATTCCATGTGGCAACGAGCAGGGATGCAGCACAGGGATGCGGCACAGGGACTCGGGATCAAGCAGCTCCAGCAGCACCTGCCCTGCTCTCCCGTGTCCTGTTCACATCCAACGGCCTCTACCACGGCCCCAAAAACTAATGCAAAAGGAGAGCAAAACAAGGCTGGGAGAACTAACATTAACAACTCAGTGGTCAGTAAGGGTACTTTTGGCCAGGAGAAACTTCTTTCCTTGCCTTTTAATCTATCCTTTTATCCATTTTTCCATCCTATCCATTCTTTTATCCATTTCTCCATTCTTTTTTTTTTTATCCATTCTTTAGTAATTTGTTATAATATTTTGTTAAAGCCACCAAGTGAAGTCTTTCTGTGCAGGTGGGGAATTACAAATATTGAGAGTTTAAAGGATAAGGGCCTGGTGAATTGAGGCTTAGGGAACAATTCCTGTGCCTGAGGGCACCATCTCAGACAGGTCAAAAATCTCTTTCAGCCCAAGCGGCCGGAGTCGGTGAGAATTTCCCCATGGGTGGCAGGAAATGGGGTGGGTTTTTATGTAACCATTACAAAAAGGCAACCGAAAAATAAACATGGGTATTTCCTCTGTGCAGCATAAAGCAGAACCGAGCACCAGCCTGTTGAGCCATGTGAGTTAGATGCCAGGGGGGTAGAATTTCCCCAGCAAGGGGTTAATTCCCTCAGCAGCTCCAGCACTGCGAGCTTAGGTGCTCGCAGGGAAATGGGGGCACGGAGCGTGGACACTTCCCACTCCAGATTGCTGCCCCGGCACCAAGTCTGACCTGTCCTGTTCCCTCCTCGGAGGCTCGGGTGTTACATGCCCAAGCAGACGAAAACCAGGAAAATTTAGGAATATGGAGGGTACATCTCCCTTTCTACACTTCTCTCGCATACGATCGTTGAGGGGTAATCGTGGCCTGTGTTCAGTTCCATACATCTCCTCTCCCCACTTTGGTTTTCGTGAATCTGATTCAAAACCAATCGAGTTTTATTCTGATTTTGTAAATATGCATCCTAAAATGGAGACATGCTGTAACTCAACTTTTGTTGCAGATTTTTGTTCATGCTGAGCAAAAAATAATTAATTAAATGAAAATAAGATAAGTTTGTGAGATTCCAGCCCCATCCACTCTGAATTTGCCTCTGGCCTTAATTCATCCTAAAATCTGAATCTTGGCAACCTGCCTGCCCCAAAACATTGGTATTGATTCCTGAAGAACCTCCTTGAGAGAACCAGCTTAGAATAAACTTTGCAGCCAGGATGTTGAGCAGACAAACACACTGTAAAGCTACACTGCTAGGTACATAAATCACCTTGGGCTATTGGATCCCTTCTGTCTCCAAACTAGAGAATTCATTTCTGTTCTCCAGCTAATCTAGGCACTGAAACACTTAACTACATCTTAGGCTTCATGCACATCAAGGAACCCACATATGTTAGTGATCTATGATTTCTTTTGTCTTGACTTTGTTTTCACAGGGTCTTGTTACATATTCACAATCTAAGATGTGTGAAAGAGCTGTGACTTTTATCTATTTTACTATGTAGGTTTTCATAGTTTTTTTTTTTTTCACTTTGTTATTCACATTTAGGGGCCAGATATTTTCTTTTGCCACCAGTTCTGCAAAGAGATGCACTTCTGTAAATGTTATAAGATGGAAGGGCTATTTTTAGATGTGGTCCAAAAAGCTACTGAATGTTTACCCTGAAACTCGTTTCTCCTTTCTGAAGGAGTGTCTCGGAAAGGCCTGGTCTTTCCTAGTTTGGAGCACCCCTTTGGGTATCTCCTGAAGGGAAGCACCGAGCGCTCAAGCTGCTGTGGCTGCAACATCCCCACAGATAAAATCTGGAATCTCCCGGTCTCCCAGACTGCTCTGAATCATTGCAAGATGTTTACATTACCCCCCTTCCTTCACGTACCAAAAATGTTTCCTTTCCCCAAGCTTTATCGGAGTAACCAGCCGCCCCTCCTCTGCTCCAGCCAGGCCTGCGAGGCCTCTCCGTTAGCCCTTTGCCCACAGCAGATCTCCCTGTGCTCCTTATCCCTGTAAAACCTGGGCACTGGGAACCAGGACGTGAGGCCACGGGAGCTGCCTACTCGGAGCTATGGAGACGAGGGGAGCAGGGAGAAGCCAAGGCCTGGCCCGTGGCACATCTCCTGTTACGACCTGATAGCAAAATCCGTGCGGTTATTTTGAGGGTATCAACAGAAATTCTGGACGGTGAAGGTTACCAGACTACTGACCTATCCATTTCTTTACAGCATTTTCCTCTTGCTGTGCTGAAGTGACCCAGGGTGTCAAAACGTCTTCACTAACCACATCCTTCAAACAGACAGATACTTCTGCTCAGCCCCCTTCCCTTTATCGTTCTTCAACCCATGGAGACACCACGTTTCATGTTAGCAGCACGAGCTCTCTTAAAACGACACCCATCAGCCGCAGAACAACTGTGCAGGCAGCAAGTGAGTCTCCGGTTACAGCGCAACCGCCTCAGACAACAGCCCAGGCGGCGGCAACCACCATGTGTGTGAGGGAGCAGGCAGCTCCAGCGGGGTTCGCCACCACCGGGGCCGGGGACACAGCGGCAGCCAGTCCCTCTTCAAACGGTGCAGGTGGGACAGAAGCACCCGCAGCGACCAACAGGACCGTACACCTTCTGTGCACAACCACCCGAGCCGTGACAAATGAGAGCTCAGCAACTGCTGGGGTAGCTGCAAACACAACCGGAGCGCCTATGCAGACAAAGAACCAAACAGCCATTGTCATTACTACTACAACCACCAAAAAGACAACGGTAAAGACCACCCAAGGGACAACTAATCAAACGACAGCTCCCCAAACTGCAACAACCACAGCCGTGGCCACCACGACAACTGTTCGCCCAAGGAACCAAACAACCATCCCGTCTACTACAACGACAGTGAGACCCACTCCTGCTCCCCAGCCCTCTGCCATCCCCACGGGCACCTACGCTGTTCGCAATGGAAGCACGACCTGCATCAGAGCAGTGATGGGTTTGCAGCTGATGGCTCAAAATATCCAGAAGGTGAGATGACAACATGACAAGGCTGAATCTTGCCATAGCTTTTCATTAGCTGGTGTTAGTTCTATCCTTGTAAAGCAATTTCCAGAAGCTAGCTACCACAAAAAATGACTTGTTTGCTAACAATCTCAGGCCTTTTGCACACCACAGAGTCTCAGCTGCTGGAGTTTGGCTTGAAATGATGGCAGTGAGACATAGGGGTGCTTTTTTATTTCACAGCACAGCTGAGATACCTCTTCAGCCATCCTCATTATAAACCCAAACATTCTTGCCTGGAGCCTGAATAGTTCTTAAATGGGTTGAGTATCTAATGCTGATGGAAGCAATTCACATCCCTCACACTGCCCAAAGACAGGCAGAGAGCATTATTCCCAACCTCACCCATGCTTTGGGAATCCCACGGGGAGATTTTTATTATACAATTAAGGTAAAAGCTATGAATGTCTCTGTGTTTCTTATTGATCTTTCCCCTTTCCTCTCCACAAGCAGCTCTGCAAAGTCTTTTTCCCTCCACAGAAACGGCTGGAGTATGTGAACATCAATCCCAACAAGACACAAACATCTGGAAGCTGTGGGACGCGGCAGTCTGCTCTGAACATAACTTTCAGTGGCGGCTTTATAAACTTTGTCTTTGTAAAGGTAAATGGCGCATTCAGAGGGAAGGAGTGTTTAGGTTTGGGGAGCTGAACTCAGGCTGCTTCTGATACATTCCTGGGTGAATGACTGCAGGAAAAGCCATTTCATCTATCTCTAGGATAGTTTTCCACATGGATATGAGATATTATTATTCTTACTCTTTCCAAGGAACTGCTATCATATCACGATGGATTAATTTAGGTCGTGAGAGACTTTTGGAGGTTGTCTGGTCCAATCCCTGCTCAAAGCAGGTCTAGCTTCAAAGTTAAACCAGATCTTGTCTACTGAATGTCGAATTTTGAAAGGTTCTTATGTTTAATTGAGGGTAAGTGCCTCGAAATCCTTTCACAGAAAGTGCTAAGGAAGAGCCTATTTACAGCTAGCAATCAAGATACACAAGGTCTATAAATAGTCCCTCTGGAAAAAGTGGATCTGATTTTTACATAGGTAAAGATGGGGTGGGAGGAAAGTCTAGGTCTGCCATTTGGACTGGAGCGGGATAGAGGGAGTTTGGCAGCCTGGAGAACCTGCTCAGGATCAAGGTGTGTGTGCCGGCACCTCTGACTCACGCCCTCAAGTTGCTGTTATGAAACTGTGTCTCGGGGACTGCCCGTATGAGCATGCGGTTACTCATCTGCTCCCGCAGATCCCAGGTCACACAGTTCTGCCCAGGTGGAAAGCAGACCTAGCTGTTAAGCCTGAAGGGCCATCTGTGCACGTGGAAGTGCTTAGGAGCGAATTCACCACTGAAGGAAGCAGTTTGCCTAACGTCAGAGTGGAAAAACTCAAACAGTTGAACAACAGCAAAACCGAGGGTAAATACCCTTAAAATGCACGGGAGCAGGGAAACTCAAATACACACAGAAACTTGAGCTGAAGAGAAGGTTGTGCTTTCATAGTGGGAATAGGATTTTTATTTTTGATGTTGTGCCTGTTGACCCCACATTTCCTGATGAGACTGCAATGCATGTGGACTGGGCTTTAACATAAGCCATTGTGGGCTTATAGGATCGTATAATATTACAATTATATAATATAATTATACAGAGTTAAGGGGTGGGAGCAACATGACAGTGCTCGGTCCTATCAAGCTCTGACACAGTGTAACACAAATTAAGGCTGCTGCTAATCCACGTCTTTCAGTTAATCAAGCTAAAAACGGCAATTTTAGAGCCTGGTTCCAAGCTCTTCCAGAAGAGGACACTCCTGTGTTTCCCCCACTGATCATGGCATGGCAAGCTGGAACCCAATTAGTGACAATTAGGGAAAACACAAGTGGTTAATTCACAGTTCATGAGGCTCTCAGATAGCATAATTTGACCTACATCCATAGAAAGTCCTAGAGGCAACAGCAAATTATAGTTCACCTGAATTTTTGGTTTATTAATGCTTAAGTACATAATAGATTTCAATCATCTCATTTGCAGTTTATGGCAGAAAGATTTTTAAAAGCCACAGAGGAAAAGAGGCAAAAAATCAAGGAGCTATTTTAAAACAAAGGATTGTTTCAAACTGTGAGTGTTTGCTTTAAACGTATGCTGCTCACAAGAGTAGCATTTTTAGCTATAAGGATACTTAAAAAAGAATCTCGTGATTTAAGTACCCATAAAAGTACTAGCTCCTAGCAGTGCTAAGGAGAGTGAGAGGAATCCTTAGGAGGTACTTGATCTCCCTTGTCCCGAAAAAGGTGCCTACTGGCACAGCATTAGACAATCCGCCCTTCACTTAAAGATAAGACTCATGAGAATATCAGGGCTCGGCTTAAGAGTTCTTTGAAATACAAGTTAATAAGAAATCTGTTTGCTGCTGTTTCTGATGCATTTAGCCCTTGCAGCCTCTCTAACTCCTACACCGCTGGCTTTGACCCAGGGGTGCTCCGTGAGCTGCAGTGTTGACACTTCTCGTTTCCGTCAGGGAAAGCGGAGCGGGATCAAGGCCCGGGGCTGCGGAGCGGGAGGCAGTTCCTGGGGCTGAGTCCCGGTTCAGCGAGCGCCCTTCCAGGAGCCTGCTGCAAGGAACTTGAAAAGAGAACGTCTTGTAACCAACCTCACTATGTGAAGTAGGAACAGGTGTTTTCCCCAAGTGAAGTGGTTAACTGTGCCCAAACTGCCAAAAACTGATAGTATTTGACCTATTTGACTAAGGAGAGTGCTGAGACCTTCTTTTCTGGTGTATTTCTTCTTTCCTCTCTTTGAGTTGGTATTTTACAACTTTTCTGCCAAGCCCAATCAAATCTACCAGCTTTAAAACTCTCCCACATGATATTAAAAATGGGCACACAAGAGATATTCACATCAGCTGTCATCTATCCATTAACTAGGCTCACCAATCCCTGCGTGCTCATAACGAGGATCAACATCAATAGTCAGGCTGCTACATCAAGGCTCTTGTTATAACTCCAACTTTGCTCCCTGGAAAAGCCCTTAATGTTGGCTCTCCCTTTGTGACGGTCCCAACGGGATGGCAATCAGATTGCACCAGGGTTTACAGCAGATTCAGGCAAGACACTGGAAATTTTGCTCTGTGGTGTTGTTTTACCAGGTGTTTTCCAAGTCAGCAGTCTGTAGGCAATATGAAACTAGGCCAGCACTGATGGTGTCAGCAGTGTGGAGCATTTCACTGCTCTACAGAAACAGCGAGGTTGCTGATTCCTCATTTGTATTGACTGCTGTGGGTAGACAAAATAGAAAACGAGCAGTATGAGCATGGAGAGAGGAGCTCTCAGCTTGCTGCTGACATCTCCCAGCTCCAAACGATGATGAATTGTGAAAGAGAGGCCAGACCACTGCTGCTTGTTGCAGTTGCTGACTTACAACTGTTGCTCATGTGAAGAGTGCCCAGGCATAAGCTGCACTGCAGTGCAGAGAGCCCTGAGCACTTTTAAGGGCATCAGGTAGGTTCTGCAAGCAGTCGGACTGCAGGTCAGCACTGATAAATTCAGTGCAAGATCCCTAAGAGAGCACTACAGGGGCTTCAATAGCAGACAGGTCAACACAAATAAAATGCCCTTATTACATACTAGTTAAGCAAATATTGGAATGTTATACCTTGCACAAGTTAACTCCCTCCTACTTCAGGTTAGTGCAAGTATCACAGTATTACCACAAGTGTCACTAACTGCAGTCCAGTTAAACACAACTGTGCTGGACACAAGATAGCTGCATTACACCAGCTATAACGTGTTAGATGGAGTGATGTAAACCTGCTAGACGGAGTGATTTTAAAGAAGTAATGCATTCAAAAATTGGTTCTCAAAGGTGAATACAGCTTCTGAGAAGCTCTTTGTGACCATTTTGCTGTGGTGAACTGTCTTTTCACAAATCCGAGGATGAAGAAGGAATAAAGATAAATCTTCTTTTGCAGAAAGCGCGAACATACTACGTCAGTGTAATTGAGGCCAGCTTACAGTCTGAAGGTCAGTGATTTTACATTTAATGTTCACAGTGTTCATTTCGTATCAGCCTATTCTTATTACGAGATTTCCTTCTCTGACTACAGACTGTTTCACTCTGATAGGCTTTCATATCTTAAAACATTGAATTTTGCAAATTTTGTTATTTTATCAAGCTTTCACCATGCCATTCATTCCACTTCCAAAGGAGGCTATGTGTCCAAGGCCCAGGCTACAAGATCTAGTCATGCTTCAGCTATCTTCCACTGATAGAAACAGAACTTGAGCCAAATTTTTCATAAAATTCTGTGACACTGATATATGTTTAAATATATATTTAATACATAAAACAACAAGGGCCAAAAATGTCAAATTCCCATGACATGTATCGTTCCTCTGTTTTGGCTAGAGTTAGCGGTGATGGAATCCTAAGCGTCTGTTCCTGGGAGAAACCTAACCCTCCCTTGCTGACTCAAGTTGTTAAAATGCAATTTGGAGAAGCATCTTGCCTTTTTTTCCCCCTTTTTCAAACCCAATCTTCAATCTTTGCCAACTTGCCCCTCAGTAATTAAAACAATTTTTTTTACAGGGGAGAAATGTAACTGATACATTGTGGGAAAAACTGTCCATGCTTTAGTTATAGCTACTACTGCTACTCTGACAAAACACTCAGGCATCCTGTTTTATCTCAGAAAGATTTTGATTTCAACAGAGTTAGTGCGGATTCCTGTTTATCACTCCTGTTTTATGGCCTCCAGGCATGCTCTACTATGCAACCATACAAGAGCAGATGTTTACAACAAAGCTGGGGAATTCCTTTAAATGTGCCAGCAAGCAAGTGTTCACCTTGGAGAAGAACTTCCAGCTGCTCACTGTGAACATGCAGCTGCAGGCCTTCGGTATTGTCGGGAACCAGTTTGGAAAAGGTAAGTAGAAAGGAAGTCTTGCCCACCCTCCGGAGATCTAAATGGGGAGCCTAAGGCAAGCTCTACTTGGCTCCATTTTAATCCTCCCTCCCTGTTTTCCCCCAGAGCAGGCACAGGTGGGTTCCCCACCGCTGCACTGGCTTCCTCCAACACATAACACATAACACGTACAGCTCAGCTCAAGGTCTCTGCTCTCAGTGTAGTCAGATCTTGGCTACTTTAAAAAGTTCTCGATACCCACAACGTCCCACAGCTGTAACAGCAAAACTGCCAATTAATAAGGAATACGTGTGAATGCTTGCAAAGCAGCTCCCTCGGTTCAGAATTAATTTTGTTATGGCCTCACCTCTGGCAGAGACACAGCTTAGGAAGACAGTCTCTCTCTTCAAGGTCAGGCTAGTGTCTGCTAATCGATACCACATCCAAAATTAAATTAGCTTTGCTCTTAATCAAAGGACTGTGAAAGCATTCACTGCTTCTGCAAGAATTCCCCAATGGCCACGAAGCAGTTATGAAAGTGTTATGCATATCTGTTGCATATGCAGATTCTGAAGGGCAAAATCCCCATTGAAGGAATTGCTCTGTAAAATCAGCACATTTCTGGCCTCCTCCCCTTAGGTTTCTTGAGGCGTAGTTTCACTTCTTTTGTTCCAGATTTGCTTATCTTTTAAAGGGGGAAGGAAAAGAAAAACCCCAGTGGTTTCAAGTTCCCTACAGTCCTGTATAGACTTCAGGAGAATTGCATCAAGAAAGAATGGCCTGTGGGAGTCTGGAAAGCTGCAAAAGTGTCTTCTGAACTGCAGTCCATTACATAAGAACCAGCTGCCAGCGTTGATAGCCTATGGTTGCATTAAAGCAAACCTGACAATTCAAGCAGCTCCAGCTTTTGCAGTATTCAAGTGCAGATACTTTTCAGCTCATTTCTTTAATAACACCTTACTTTTACCAATCTAAGCCTTTAAAACACAGAACTAGCAGAAGGCTACGTCTGTCAGTGCATCACAATGAATCAGGATCACGAGCTGGATAAAAAGAGAAGAGGATCTGATTATGGGGAGAGCAGTGTGGAAGCTCTGGGGTTGTGATACGATGTCATGGACATGGACATTCCCCAGGCCAACCACCATGGTTGCTGTAGATTCCCATCTGTGGGAAGCACAAGCTAAGCTATAGTGTGTCCCAGCATGGTCACCAGACACTAACAACAGAGGCTTTTTTTCTTGGAGCTGTCAAAATCTGCCATGGAATATGCACAGGGAATGGAAGGGATGGGGGGATGCGTTGGATGTAAGTTAGATTCACTGCTGCGATGGGGTATGTTTGGGGTCCAGGTTACCCTACCAAGACGCCACTCAAAACATCATGTTAGACATCTTTCTTTCCCTGGAGCCCCAGGAAATTCGTGGGCATTCCTATAAACCAGGTGGAGGAGGTAGGTCTGAACCAGTTGTGGAATAACATATTAGTGACCCGTCAAAGACCTTGCCCTCATTCCCAAGCTACACCTAATACACTGTGAATGTAAGACCATTCCTGCCATTGCTGCCTGGGTAAATATTCCACTTATGTCAGCGATCCAAATGGTACCCTCCTTCCATAGGTAAGGCACCTGTTTACCTGAATCTGGAAGTTCTTTTCTAAATTCATGAGTTGGCAACTAGTTAGAAGATGATTTGAAGAACGGTTTGGGTAGGGACTGGCTGAGGAAGTGAGGATAAAATCGCATGGATACTATTAAATCAGCTCCCTGGATGGCACTCAAGGTCTCCATTTTCCTAAGCTCGTCGTGTTCCAAATCAGGAACAGTTATCCATGTATATTCTGAATTAAACAGGGAGAGGAATTGGAACTTGATTTTTCATAGGAAATACAGACTTAACTATGAACATTGCTGTGGTAATGATGTGCGAAGTTACGGGCTCCCTCTCTGGCCTGATCCTTTTTACCACACAGAAGCAATTAGATACCACACAGCAGCATGCTTTGTCCATACAGGATGTGTCCTGCTAATATTTAGACTTGTACTTTGTAGTGTGATGCTCCACATCTGGCATGAGCCAAAAAGCCTCCTACTGTGTAAGCAGAGACATTGATGGAAAAGCAGTTGCCTGTGGACATGACAGAGCAGAGAAATTCTCTAGTGAAGTATGCAGCTATTTCCAAGGAGGCAAGTGTTGTTTTCCTGAGATAGGATTAATCACAGGTAAAAACATATTAAGCAATCCAGGAAAAAGAAGGGTTTTGGGAACTTCTGCTTTGTGTTTGCTAGCTTGTCTAGAATATGGATGAATAGTCTAGGGGAATAGTGATCCGCTATAACACTTTCTGTCATCTCATTTTTCTTGCAGAGGAAGAATGTTATCTTGATAGAAACAGCAAAGCAGTTCCCATCGCAGTAGGCCTGAGTATCCTGGGATTATTTGTCATTGTGCTCGTCACATTTGTGATTTCCAGAAGAAAGCCTAATAGAGGATATGAACGCATCTGAGTTGCCTTTGTACTTCCAAATGTGCATTGCAAGTAGAGAAGTTGCAGGAGTTTTTGCATTTACCTACTAATCTCACCGCCCTTGAAGCCTTATTTTTAAATGGGATGATACCACGTGTTTAAAACTAGTATTTCTGGAGCGATTTCCTTAAGGTGGGAAGGGGAGGACGCACCAACTACCTTAGGCTATACTTCAAATTTAGATGTAGTTCAGAGGACCAAGGTTAGGAGCCTAAATTTCTCATATTACCAATAAAGGAGGCAAATCAGGCTACCTAGGCTAGATGCCTAAAAATAGCTTCAAGCTTAACCATGACTCTCCCCAATAAAGTCCACCAGTTTTCTTACAGATGGTATTCAGACTTACTAAAACAGATGAGTCCAGTAATATATGATTTCCAGGTGAACATGAGACATGTGCAGCTACAGACAGCCCTGCTAAAACCGTGTGGCCGCACTGTGTATGCTAAAGTCTCAGGACAACTATGAATATAATTAAACAAAAGAAAAAATAAAGTGTTTTCAGTTTAGTGTGGAAATAAATGAAATAGAACTGCTAGCCCATCATTTATTTCCATAAAGTAACAGCACAGACCTGGAGCAATTAGGAAGGACTATGGAATCACTCTGGATTTTCTGGGTAAAACTGATGTCCTTATTTTGCTGCTTTAATTTGTCTTAAGTATTTATAAAGGTAGCTTTGATATTTTACTTGCATTTAACCATTTAGAATTTGCTTACTTAAATCAGGAATGAAAACAAATCTTTCTATTCCATGCCTTATTAGCGGATTCTGGTCTGTGTCAAGCAGGAAATAGGAGTGGATGGTCATACTGTTTCATAATTGCTGTAAGATGTAGCTGTGGAAGTAATTAACATTTTCTAGAAATGGTCCCTTTGAGTCTGCAGGAGCCCATAAATAAGATACAGACAATTTGGATTTTTACACTTGGGAAAACATGAGACAGAGCCAAAACAGCTGTTAGCAACAGAGGCAGTTGCTTGCAAGGTAAAGCAACCTTGCGTGAATGACAAACAACTCTTCAAACTTCCAATACAGATGAAGCAATCTGAATGCTTTGACATTTTAAAGATTATTTTGTAAAAGGCTCTAGCAGTGTTAACTTCAGTGCATTTTATCCAGTTTATTTTCACTCTTCTTCTTCCCCCCCAGAAACGGGCATGTAGCCCCCTGCCTATAGTTTACTGCCTCACTCTAGTTCTCAGGGTGATTTTCCTGTTAAGGTTTGTCTCATGTGAAAACCACATGGTTACCAGAAGTTTCTATCTTCTTTCAGAAAAAGTTTGGGGAGTTTTGAGCCTGTTGCTTGTGTTGTTCTAATGAAACCTTTAGTGGAAAGAAAAATGTCAGCTTCTGCCTGTCAGATGAAGTGAAGCTTTGAGTCACTTTTGAGTTATGTGTAAAAAAAGGCTTTAATACTATATGAACAGCTTTAATACTATTCATCTGTTGTTTATAGAGAAGATTCTTAGACTCACCTTTTCTTAACACTGTAACAGATAAGGTGAACAGTAAGAAATCTATGGAAGAGCTTCCATTCAAAATGAGCCTACACACGCAGCTCTAATACATGTACATAATGCTGAAGAGTTACTGTCTGGTTACTAGACTAATAACCAGACTAGTAACTAATCCTAATTAGTTACTGTCTGAAACCGTTCCACGTGGACACAGTAATATCAAACATTTTGTACTGTCTAAAAGGCTCAGCACAGCGCACGATCTGACCCTAACCTTTCTGAGCAGGGATCGCTAGACATCTTTCTCATCCGCAGCCAAGTCCTGGTTCACATGCTCACTGCATCAGCTCTGTACAGCTTGCCACTTTTATTGAATAAAAGTATTTTCCTGTTACTTTACCTACTGAAAAAAATCTCTCTAATATTCAGTCTTTTATTATTTGATATCAAGCTGAGGAGAGAAAGCTGTTCTTAATGGCTATTAATTCTGCCTTTAATTGCATGTCACACCCTAGCATTTTTATAGATAATGTAAAGTTTGCGTATTTTTTTCACTTTTTTTTTTTCCCTCACGAGGATGAATCAAAGTGTTGATACTGAACCATGTTTGTTTTCAGACTTAGGCAATTTGTTCTTATTGGTTTTTGTTGCTAATTCTTGTTTGCCATTTTTCTGGAGCTGCATATGACCCTTTCTACACAAACAGCAATATGGACTCGCACCAAATGGCACCGATGAAGGGCACATGGCATAAACGAATGGGACATTTGTGAGCCCCCATTGAGCGATACCAACATGAAGCAAAACGGATCTAGTGGAGTTCATGAATTACATGAGCAGAGGATGTGTTGGAGAAATCCTTACTGCATCAGGAGACCCTGGCCTGCTCTGTGCAGCTGTTGCTCAGTAAGGTCTGTTGCTCACATGAGGTAGAGAAAAGTGCATCTCGAGTATAATGCAGTTATAGTTATCTTCTTGGCCAAACAGATAAGTTTATAAAGAAAAAAACAAACATCTTCCCATGCATTGTTGCTCTCTGATAAAAAAAAAAAAAGTTCATATTAAAGACCTGCTGTTAAATTCTGTGTGGAAGAGGAAGGGAGATTTAGATGAGTTCTTGAGTATGTAAGTTTGTTTGATCTCTTTACTTCTAGCTTACTACAAAATCTAATCATGAAAAAAAGACTTCGTTATGAGCTGTAAGATATGCTCTTATTTTTCTATTATTGGTGTTTCTATAATAAAGACTGTATTTATTCATTGAAGTATGCATTGCTTTTGGGTGCTCTCCCACCTACTGTTTTAAACCCAAGTGACACTGACTAAACACACTGTCAATGATTTCTCCCATGGTCTTGGGCAGGTCATCTGACATTTTCATCTTTGTTTCATGTACAGGTTTGGAGGCTATGGGCCACAGCAATGCTCACCCTTTTAGCATCAGGGCTTTCCCATCTGGCTACAAAATAGCAAATAACCTGCATTTCCCATTTTCTGCAAGCACGACAGCCCACGACATCCCAAGTGTTTTAATAACACTTAAAAAGTGTTATTTAATAAGTGTTCTAATGTTCATTAAACTCTTTGTTCAGAGTTTTAAAAGGGGTAAGTTGCATTTCCCACATGCAGAAACAAAACAAATGATTGTGGAGGAAAAAGGAAAGCTTTCAATCTGAGAGAAAATCAGACACGTTAGAGACACAGATGTTGGTTTTGAACCTCAGCTTGGCCAGGGCTTTCCTGTAGCTAGAAGTTTCTGAAGAGAACATCAGTGCGGCCCAAGTTTTAATGTTTAACTTTGTTCACTTTTCTACGGCGTGACAACACGTGAACTCCTCCATGCACCTCGGCTGGGGTTTTGTAATCCCCCAGCGCGGCCCTTCCAAGGCCCGACACGCAGCTCCGCGGCAGGCTGCCATCTCGTGTTAGCCGCTGAAAACGCTCTTAAACCTACCCAAGAGAGAAAAGGAACGTCTGTGCTGTTAGCGGGAGACAGAGAAGAATGAAGAGTGTGATTTTAGAAAAAAAAAAAACGTTTTCCCTTGACAGTTTTAAAAATTGTATTTCTAGAGTAAGTGCTGGGCCGGCCACTGGCCAGACTTGAGGGGTGCGCAGGACACACTACTGTTGGCATCTGTGAGGAATGTGGGGAACTGGACGGCCAGGCAGGGCTCAGAGGGGACCCAGCTGAACACACTTCCTAGCCCCAATGCCCCATTTGTGGCCCCCATCACCCTTTCACCTCAGCCCCCGGGGTCACCCGGGAGACAGCATGGCCCCGTGAGGTGTTTGTGTGTGGGGAGGGGCTTCCTTTTTAACAGGCAGCACGTTTCACATTTACCCGGGTGGATTTTGCTGTGCCGGGTCATGCCCCGGCAGCTCGGGGATATCAAACCGGCCCCTCTTCACCCACCACCCCGGCCGCGGCCAACGGCCATTTCGCGCTCCCTCCCCCGCCTCGCGCCGCGAGGCCC